ATGAAGGCTCGGACCATGGTGTGTAGATTCGGCAGGAGCTTTGAGAGAACGAGTCGGGGAGCGAATGGTTGTCTTTGGATATTCCTAGTGGTGTTCTGGCATACAATATTGCGGGAAAATGCTCAAATAGTGATAGTTCAAAAGTTTCTGTAAGGTTCACACAACCGCGGACCACTTATGCTGCAGCGTATAAGCGCTTTGAGGGAACAAAGATATACTGCTCAAACCAGAGAAAAGCATCGCGGTGGTTATTGTGAATAAAGAAGATTATATTCAAAAGCTTTCTGAAAAAATTTCGGATGATAAAATCTCTCAAGATGCAACAAAGGAAACGAGGAAACAGAAAAACTGGCGGCCGAAATATCAGATCCGTTGAAGGCACTAAAGGTACAGGGGCACATAGACAATGTAACATTTGAGAGACTAAAACCGTGTGGGTCCAGCCTCCCGAAATTGTATGGTCTCCTTGAGATCCATAAAGAGGGATCTCTAATTCGACCTATCATGGCAATGGTGAATTCGTCATACCACAACGGCACAGTGGTTGGTCGAATTATCAGAACCCGTCCACCGTAGACTTGTCGCGCAGTCCCCGAAACAGTTTACAGTTTGTAGACAATAGAGATGACCTGAATTTGCAAGAAAATACTGTGTTTCCCTTGGATGTCGTTTTACTGTTCACCAGCCGAAACCTAAAGAGACTGTTATTAGGTTGCACATGTAACATCCAGCTTTTGTTTAACGGTATTACCTATCGCCAGAGGGGGGAGGGGGTTCCATGTGATCCCCACTCGGTTCGTTGCTAGCGGACACCATCGTGGCTAATCTAGAAAGAAGCACGCTGAGCTCAACTGTTGAGGGATTAGCCCGCTGCAGTAGAAATATGGATGACATCTCGTGTGACGAATAGTGAAAATGGCATCCCACAGATACTAGCATTGTCTAGCAATGCATGTTTATCGCTGGAATTCATTGTTGAAATGAAAAACACATTGACCTTTCTGGACGAAGACGTGTCCGGGAGAGAAGATCGATCAGTAAGAAGACAGATCCACAGAAAGAAAACACTGAATGGTCAGTATAAATAACTTTTGTAGTTTCGTTCATATGACATACAAACGTGATCTAGTCCAGTGTCTAGCCTTCAGATCCCCGAAGATTTGTTCAGCAGATACACTGAATGAAGAACTACGCTTCATCCGCCAAACGCTGCAGGACAATGATTATCCGGAAAAGTTCATTGATGAGAATATTCGGCTCACTCCGGAGAACGAAAACTCCATCTGTGTTAAGCAAGAGTCGCTCGTGTCATTCGTAAGTCTGGGCCGCATACAACAATGACTAGCATTCCGGTATTTTTCTATGAATTGCAACCCTAACTTGTGGTAAACTAAACCAAGTCGGAAACAACTAATTCGTTCTGTAGCACCGTCAGATGACAACAGGCTTTCCATTCAACGGATTAAGCACTAAATAACCAAATGTCCGAGGGCTGGGTCTTAACAATAGGTAAGCGCAAACTGTACCTCTTCCAAAATGTTTTCAACATTCGATATGTTTCTTTTTCGATGAAATGTATCCAGTTGGGATAAATTAAGGCATGTAGGGTGTTTCATAAGTTCAGCAGTTCGATGCTTTATTTTTTACTTCTTCTGTTTGGTTCAATCGATCAAGAAGTGGCTAATTCTCTTTGATTATCGCAGTGTGCCGGCTAGAAAAAATAATCCGACAATAATAGACAAACAGCGAAAGACACTAAAAATAGATGAAGTTTC